GGGGGGGGGGGGGTTAAGTAGTAAAAAAAGTAGACTGTACAGCTTTAGATTACGTACCATTTCATCATAAAGCTTTTGAATAAAAAAATGTCCACTATTTTGTGGAAAAAAATAGTGAACATAATGTGAAAAAAGTGGACTGTCCACTCAAATAGTGGACACCTGGCAACCCTAAAGATGCATAGCCCATAATTTTGCATACGCATATGGTCATATCTCGGTTTTTATAAACGCGAAAACTAGAATCCGATTTTGACTTTCCTTGGTTTTAAAAGATAGCGCGTGGCTTGAACTTTCAGGGGAAAGTTCGCCTAACGTGCTGCTGTTCAGCATTCGACAGAATCTGGCTAGCTGTACAAGTTGATTTCAGAAATCTAAAGCGAAGGCAGGCTTACTAACTCTTTTGTGAAGGGAAATCCCACGGCTATCCTTGGAAAAAATATTCCAGAAAAGTCGTCCAAATAACTGCTATCAAAACAGCTACACGGACAATCAAGAGCTAAACTTGACCCAAGGAAGTATTTACTGTGCTATTCTTTTACTAAGTGACATGAAGAATAAAACTCTTATCCGAAGGCTGTAAAAATAAAAGAGCTGATAAAACAGACAGAGTAAAGTTGATTTTCTCACTTTAGATGGGAGTCCTACTGGTTGATCTTTAGCAAATTGGGTTGTATAGCAAGCTTATTTTGAGCCCTACTGGGTAGGGATCTTGTTGGTCTAAAAGCAGAGCACCAACTAACTGTTTCTCCTTTGTGAACAATTATAACAATATATTTTTTTCAGTCCCTGGTGAAAGTTTGCTGCTCAGCTTTGAGATGTATGTTCCCAGAACAGCACTAAACACCCATTTAAAAGTTCTTTTTGTTTAGCAATATTTTTTCATCATGTTTCTATTACAGTTTATTCATTTGGAATCAATTATTATTAGAAATGTTTATTTTTAAATGCAGACCAACATTCTTCCAAATAAATTGCAGGGGCTTATGAAAAAATAAGTTGAAAACTTTTTTTAAAAGGATTTTTTATACTACAGAAGAAAACTACAAACACTGTCCTCATTGTATGTGTGGTAAGCAGCAAGCCAAAATAAATGAATTCTGAGTTCTGAAACAAGCTCTACCAATGTTTTTTCCTCTAAAATATGCATTCCCATATTTCCTTACAAGAGGCAGAAATATATTTTTATTCTGGAGTATATCAAGCTCTATTTTTTTTTAAAAAAATATTGCACATCATCCTCATCCCTACAATTTGAGCATTTTGAAATGCAGAACCTTTCAATGAAGTTGTGAAATTAGTTCTATGTCAGTTGAATTGATTCAGTCAATTGAAAAGATGCATAAAGTATGAATTTAGAATACTAACAGAGACAGTGGAAGAGATTTAGGCATTGAAAATACAATTATTATTCCTTGGAGATCATGAATTCTATCTAAACTACACTGCTGGGACTGTTATTTCAGAATATCCAAGCCTCAAAAAAAAGTATGTATTTTCAGCAAAGAATGAGGCCATTATAAAAGAAAATCTTAAAACAATACCAAATTGTCACTTGAATTCTAAAGCTTCTAGTAAATATATTTCAGAACACAGTACTCTACAGTCTGAAACTAAATCTGTACACTGGTATTTTCAAATATTTTGGTAATTTGTCTACCAACATTTGAAGTTCTGTCTGGAATTATCTCAGCCATGACTTCAGAATTCTTAGATAGACATTACAGAGCAATGTGGTTGAGATTTCTCCCAAGTTTGTACTCTCAAGTATTTTCCAAAATAGGAGTAAGCCAATCCTTCTGAAATGGATGATTTCAGATATATATTCTGAGCTGTAAAGCGATTTGTAATTAGTTTCTGAACATCCAAATTGATTGGGAATGTTAGCTAAATTTGCTGACATTTACAGGACCACAGTGGAATAAACTGAATGAAGAGTGTAGAAGGTCAGAGTTGCAGGAACCAGACAATAAAAATAGGTTAAGAAACAAGCAAAATATCCTGGAAAGCATAGAAAAGGAAGTCTCGGACCACAAAGAATGGGAGATCAGTGAAATGTCTTAGACAGACTCTCTTTGTACATGCAACACATGTCAGTAACATGTAGGATCATATATGCTGAATGCACACTAAGTGGCTTTGCTCTTAGTGTCTGGAGATTCTCATTCATCCAGGTTATAGTTACCCCAAAGATGCTTTTTCACAATGCAACTGGACTTTCTTGTTTTTCTTTGAAAATATTTCGTTTCTCATCCAAGAAGTTTCTTCAGCTCTGACTGGATGGTGGGGA